AAATGCGAGCCAGGAACATTTTAGATTCATCGGACTGATGAACTCCTTCATGATCCTTGCAAATGTAGCAGACGTCGCAACAAATGTCCTTATTTTCGTTGAGTTCAGTCTTGCAATTGACGCAACCGAAACAACAAATATCCTTGGATTCAGCAGAATCTTGAACTGGAGATGCATTTGTGGATTTCGATACAATGGCGGCGAAGCAGATGAGGGCGAACAAGGCAATGAATGATTTCATTCTGCAAAAATGAAAATTCATCAACACGCGTCTTTTTTTCAAATAAAAATAAAACCAGTTATGAGCTGTGCCAAGATATAAAAATTTCGAAATCGAAGTTGTACTCACTTGTTTGTGTGTTTGAGGTATTTATGAGAATTGAAAATGTTTGACTTGGATTGTGCCACTTGATTGAGACTCGATCGACTTCTTCTCTTTCGAAGCACAAGTTTTTGTGATGTTTCGTCCAGCCCCACATCCTTTTTATATCATTCAATTCCAAACGATCCATATTTCGAACGAGGAAACTTCTTGCAAAAATGGTTGGTCACATTTATGGCATACATGCTTTGAATCATTTGAGAACGATGAGTCATTTGGAACCAGGTGTATAGTGATACGGTTATGTTACGATGGTACGATTTCAGTGGTTTTTCCGCTTACCAATTTAACCTGCATCAAACTTTTCCTTATTTTTTGAAAATTTCAAGCCTATTTTTTCCTAAGGGTAATTAGAGCTCAGGAATATTTTAGTGTTAAAGAAACATCCCGGGAAAGGGAATTTTATAAAAGATCATTGCATCTTATATTCACAGGAAGTTTGGCATTTGGCACTTGAAGCTACTTTTGCAATTAAAGTATTTGGAATGAATCGCATAGGATTGGAAATTAGATGCTGTCAATACTCTCTTAAATTTGATTCAACCCTTTATAACGGGTTTCGTAATCCAAATGCTCGTATTTCCTTTTTCTTCGAGAAATGGTTTGTCTTGATTTCAAGCATTTCAGCTTGTTCATTCACGTATTAATTATCGAATTTATGGGGCCAAACGTCGATGGAAGCCAAACTTTTCGTTGTATTTCGAATTTTGCATCAATATTCTCACTTTTTTGTGTTTTCAATACAGTGATAAAACGATATATTCCGATTCAGTTAACAACTGCTGATCTAGCATGTTTTCATTTTGGTTCGAACAGTAATCAATGGATAAGAATGTAGAAATGTTGACATCCGCTAACTGTTCACCTGAAAAACAAAATAAAGAAACAGCTAGATCTGTGGCCTTAATTTGAAAAAGGAATTTAAAAATACTTCTAAATTATGATTTTCCCCAGAGAAATTCGATTGCAGTAAAATATGTGTGCGCAATAAAAAATGGGATGAAGGGATGATATAAGGCAGAAAAAATGAGTTACATTATACTGTATTATGAATAAGCAGATTTTCCAAGAGACGTCTGACTACTGCTGTGCTTCTCAAACAGATTAATGTATAGAGTTTTTAATTCAGGTAATTTATCTTCTAAACCCACAAAGGAAACTTCGTGTGAGAGTGTTAGCCTATATGCCTAGATGTTGAAAAAAAGCGCAACCTAATTTCTCAGAACACCACAAGCGAAAAAAAAACTCTAGTATCAAAATTCGAAATAAGATATGCTTGCCGGATTCACCGGAAGATATTTCCATAATTTATTGAGCAATTTGAAACCTGGGTTAAAAAAAACGCATGAGCTGATCTTGAAAGGAAATCTCGTTCGAAAATGACAAATATTTCTTAGTAAGACACAGTAATATTTTCAGCATCAAGCATATCTTCAAGCACTGAATTTCTTCTCAAGTATTGGGCATCGCACTCGAAAGGTCAAATGCGGATGTTTTTTAGATTCTGGCATAAAGTTGAGAATTCAAAACCTACGACTTCTTTCTGTAAAACAAATCTGAGTCAAGAAAAGTTCTTCAATGATATGGAATTTTGTCCAATTCTTGTCCCTGTCTATTGAACACAATTTCTTCCGCTCATTGTTTCTTGGAAAAAAATACAGCATTGCTACACAATCTATGAAATAGAAAAGACAGATTAAGAGAGGGAAATAGGTACTGTACGCGGAAAACTATTGAAAACCCATGCAAAAACGAAGTCCATGCACCGATTCACACCTGGGACTAAATGACAAGTTCACATGCGTTATATGTGCGATAAAATTTCACTAATTTTGGCGAGAAGAAGTTTCCGCGTTTGAAAGGTGGAACAGTCTAGGGATGGAATGAAATAAAAAGCGGGCAGTAAGGGAACGAACATCACAAAAACTTTCTGAGCTTCGAAAAGGAAGGAGTCGTTCAAGTCTCACTCAAGGGACATAATCACAGTCAAATCTGTTC